CTGACTTTGTTGACATTTTGTTGACAATTTCACACTGCTAGTACAGTGCCCGTGCGATGCACGGGTGTTTATTATCTCTGTCCCTTTTATAAAGGGATGTCCAGTTAAAATTCAAATTACTTACTAAATGAAAGAACATGCCATTAATAATTAATAAATTAATAAATATAATGAAAATAAAATCTATATACTATCTTCCTTATATCAATGTTAATGGTTTGATTATTTGGCACGCTATCATCGCCACAAAATAGGATTTTCAAACCATTTCTGTTTGTGACACGGGAGACAACAACATACAACTGGTCATGACTAAATATTGGTTTCTTATGAAATAAACCCACATGTTATAACTATTGTCACTATCTCGTATTTATAGTCATGGTAAGAAACCATCTTTTGCATATGAACACCACGAATTATACCAGTTATGCAGCTCCCCTAAGAAACAAAGAAAATAAGTAAAAACACAAATTAACCAATACTGTAATTGAAAAAATAAGTAAGCAACAATAAATAACCTCATCATCGTGGAAAACAATCTCCAAATAGTTTCGATATGCGGCATCATACAATATCTCGAATATACGAATGGCTCGAAGTTTTATCACGAGTCTCCTATTTCTCTTAAGCTGTTTGATGAATCCAAAAGGTTGGTCCATGTCTTTTTTGGTTTTTTGGTTTGTATGTGTGTGCTAGTTATTTCTGGATGATATGAGAACTATATGAATCACCCTATGGTGGAGGTATTCATAGTTTAATTATTGGATTTTTAAAGTAATGATTTTTTAATTTTTGCCAACTTACAAAGAATAAATCTATATTTAGTATATTAATATTTAATTGTAAACGATTTGATTTTGATTAATAATAAAAGATGTGTGATAATCTATTATTTACATAACAAAATATTTGTGCTCCTAACATTCAATTCGATCTTATCACAAATATATATATATATATATATATATAGTATCAATTCATTGATTAGTTACTTGGTTTGTAGATTTATATTTATGACACCAAATATTTTGAAGATTGTGGAGTCTAAGAATTTTTCAAATATTGGAATAATATTAGGCACAATATATATTCTATATTCGTTACACAATGATTTGTTTAATATTCGTAAGTATGCTAAATCAGATTGCGTTTGATTATATTCCTAGTAACAACCATTAAAAATTATTATATTCCAGTTAATTATATATTTTAAAGATATATACATATAACAACCATTAGCAATTACAAACTGATCTCATTTGTTTATGTTTAAAATAATATATCCACACAAATATATAGCTTATTAAAAACCATCATCCCATAGGAAATTATAAGAGTTTTAATGTAACTCTTTTAACAAAATGTTTGTCTTTTCACATGCAATTCAATTTTAAGCCAAATATATAGTATCGATTGTTTGATAAGTTACTTGGTTTTAAATTTATATTTTTAACAACAAAATATTTTGTACATTGTGGAGTCTAAAATGTTTAAAAATTTTGGAATAATATTTGGCTCGATATATTATTGTCACACAATGACTTGTTTAATTTTCGTAATTATACTAAAGGAAAACTACGGTCCCAACCTTCCCGTCGGAAGTTATAATGTTTGGATACACAAGTAGTTAGTATAAGATAGATGATCTAATGGTTAAAACAGCCGACGTGATGATTTCGGAACGGGAATATAGCATTAAACTAAATCATATTTTTATTTGATTATATTCGTAGTAACAACCATTACATTTTTGTTTGATTATATTCTGATTAGTTATATATTTAATAGATATGTACTTGTAACAACCATTAGAATTTTGGATAGTATGGATTGTAAGAATCATTAAAATATTGGTATAAGATTTAAATTAGAAACTGAATTCTAATGTTTATTTGGAACACCCATATAATATATCCACACAAAATATATAGCGTATTAACAATTATTGTCCCAAAGGAAATTATAAAAGCTTTAATGTAATACTATTTTAACAATTTAGTTGTGCCTATAACATGCAATTTGATTTTAAGCCAAGTATATAGTATATGTTGTTTGATTAGTTACTTGGTTTGTACATTTATACTTTTAACAACTTAATATTTTGTAAAATGTGGAATTAATCCGATTAGTTATATATTCCTAGTAACAAACATTCCAATGAGTCGTTTGATTATAATGCAATTAGTTATATATTTTATAGATATGTACATGTAATAACCATTAGAATTTCGAATATTATGGATTCTAAGAATCATTAAACTATTGGTATATGATTTAAATTAGTAATTGAGTTCAAAACTATACGTTGATTTGTTCAAAGGTTTGTAGATATTGTTTTGTAACAATAAAAGGTATTTTAAACTAAATATATTATTTGAATAGTTATTTGAATAGTGTTGAATAGTTATTTGAATAGTTATCTTCGTGGTATGGATATTTGAATAGTTATCATGACTTTATTGCTAGTTTTCAACAAATTGTTATTAATTCTTATTGCTAGCAGTTTTCTGAACTTATTAATTTTTTTATTAAGAGATAAATATGAGATAGATCAGCGTCATTAGGTAACAAATTCAGAATCATTTTAAATATGAGAGAAATCATGGTAATTAGGTAACAAAATCCAATAATTAGGTAACAAATTGTTGGAGACTATTGAGAGTGTGATTCGTTCAACAAATTCCATATTTATGTGTTAATTATTAATTATCTACATTAATTAATTATTTAATAATTAATAATCCAAATAATTTATGGAACCTCCAAGATAATTACTTAAAGTAGTAATTGTTACTTAAAAGAGTAAGTCAAAGCCTTATTTTTTAAAGTCAAGCATACTATTTTCTTATTTTCCAACAACCTCTTTATATTACTATAGATACTTTGTACTTATATTTCTAATGTTCTCACGCGTATTTCGGTCTACATATGTCTGGATGCTCAACAAAATAGGAGTGCATGAATTGTTATCAAGGATAAAGATTGATTTGTTATTAAAAATAAATAATTTAATTTATATTGTGAAAAATTGAGTTTATAATTTTTGAAAAATGAAACGATTGAGTTATTGATAAAACATAGGATTCTAAACTAATCCTTCTGATTAAATGATTTTTTGAAGCTACGATAATATTTTTTTTATATATAGTTGGTTACCAAATAAATAATGAATCACTGTGATTGTTATTAATGATGATAAATAAATAAAATTCTATTATAACATTGTAATAAATATCATAGTAAATTTTTGATAGATTACTTTCAGTTGTTATTTTGTGATTATATTTGTAATTTTATCGTGCATATAACATTTCCTAAAATGAAATCTATTTATAGACGCTCTTTTGAAGACACGTTGCATGATTGATTAAAAATAAGAAATTGTATGGTTCGTAATTAATATGAAGAATTGGATATTTATTGCAGTAAATATCACAAAATAATTTTCAACTTTATTTATATAAAAAGTCATGTTATTAACCTGACTGCACAATTTACAACAGCTAGATATAATTTAATTTCCATTTTTTTTAAATATTTAAAAAATTTTATTATATTTCATCTAATAGTAAGTCGACCTATTCAATTAAGTCAACTTATTTAATTACAAAATAAAAGTTATTATTTTAATTTATTATTACATCAACATCTTTAAAAATATATATTAAGAAAATACTATATTGGAAAAAAAAATGCTATATTGGAACAATTCCTCTAAAATTGTCGACTGACTTCCCTGTTCTCCTCTCCCAAATTTTCTGTCTTAGCCCCTATTACTGTAGTGATAAATCAAATCCCCAAAATTGCATAAAAAATCGATCTTTTGGAAATCCGTTAATCAGCCGCCGGCGACGTCTGTAACTTGCTTAGTCTCTTTATGTTCAAACTGTTGCTAGCCAAATGCTGTTGTTGTTTCAATCATAAAGAAAATGATTAAAAATATTTCTTTGCTGGTATTTATACTGTGTGATGTGGTAATATGTAAAGTCCACAGTGCCTTGAAACTATTGTTATATGGTTAATCACAGAAGCATTTGTTGTGAGTTTTTTTCTTGTCTTTTGCAAGAGTTGAAGTTGTGAATGTTATGAGTGAGCGTAGTCAGATAGGGAAGATCTTCGGATAAAAGAGGTTAAACCCTTTCTTTGGGTTAACCCGAAATCCTTTCTCGATTCGAAACATATGTCAGAACTCATTTCAGTTCTTGTTTCAATGTGAGGAGGATAGAGATAAAATCCTTGAAGGGAAAAGACCTGGACATTCGACGGCCAATATTTGCTCCTCAAAAATTGGACTCCAGACTACAAATTTCTCGAAAGAGGAAGATAAAATCGAAGTTTGAATCCAAATTGTCAATCCCCCTCTACATGGCTGAAACAGGCTTGAAAATAGGTAAACTACCGGCAAGGTTGGAAGTTCTGATGGACAAATGGTGAGAGCTTTGATTGAGATGTAGCTGAAAAAACACGGTAGAATTTGAATCAAGAAAAAGGGGAACAGGCTCATCTTCGTTGACAGTCTCCCGACCAATCGGCTACAATAAACATACCCAGTACAGATCCCATTGAACACATCTTGTCATCACATCAACTACTATTCCCTGTTACCATCAACAAAAGCAGACTCTTCCACACCCCATTAAAAAATGCCACCCCAAAAGAGTATGGCACTTAAAAAAAAAATAATAAGAATATATACTTCTCAAAGTATACTAAGAACAATAAATCTCTCTATCTATTTCTGAGCCGATCATTCATGTGATGACTAAAACAATAAATCCACCATATTGTTTCTCCATAAGAAAACAAAAGTAGCACCCGAAAGTAATATAGTTCATTTGAGAATCTGACAAGAGACTTTTTACATCCTCTATCTATTTTTGAACTAATCATTCACACGTGATAGTAATATAGTTCAATTAAGAATCTGACAAGAGACTTTTTACATCCTCTGTAGTTCATTTAAGAACCTGACAAGTGACTTTCTACACGATTGCTTATTATGGGATGCCGAAAACAAGATTTTCAAACTTTGCCATCACCTGAGCCACATCCGGCCGCTCATTGGGATCATTTGAAATCAATCTTCGGATGATGGGCGTGTACACATATACCAGATCCTCTTCGACCATGCCTTTCTTCATGTTGTCAATGAAGTTTTGCTTCTCGTAGGCCGTTGGAAAAGGATGCAATATTTCCAAGAATATGATGCCGAGACTGTACATGCCAATCTTCATGTCCACCCAACTCCAAAAAACCCTCTCGGGAGCCTTATACAGTCTTATTCCATCGGAATTTGAGAATTTCACAAAGCCCCCATCTTCAAGTTTATGAGTTGCAATCAATGAATGAGAAATAAACTTAAAACTTAAACTTATATTGGCATAAGTTCTTTATACATTGTTTGTAAGATCTACTCGCCCGAATGAACTACTTACCAAGACCAAAATCCCCTATTTTGATAGTGTTACCGCTGCCGACAGACACATTCGACAGCGACATGTCACCATGAATAAAACCTTTGGAGTGAATGTGTCTCAACCTTCTCAAGATCGGAGAAAAAAACTCCAAATACTTCAAGTCCTCAAGGTAATCTGACAAACAGCAGAAGAAAACGGTAATTTCAATAATTATGATCAAATTAAGCAAGCATGCATTCAGATTGTAATAGAGCAACCACCTGGAATACAACTCCATTAAAATGTAGAGGCAAGGACTCAATGTCTTCTTGTGAAAGAGCGTTAATGTCTTCATTTGATAGAATCCCGATTCTGTTTTCCCATAAACACACCCAGACATTTGGGACTTTATCCAAGCCTTAATCAGAAGAACGTGCATAGTCAATATAAAATAACTATTTGTGCTTTCTTATACTTTACAGTATTGCACAACATTGAGGAGGACTATTTGTAAACACATATACCTAATAGTATTGCACGATACTTGCTAGACATAGCCTTGACTTCTCTATTAATAAGAAACAAATCCTTAACAACATAAAACAATACATTTGGGTGTTTCATGCTAGACATAGCCTCGACTTGTCTATAAAACAACACCTAAAAAAAGAAACAAAGACTTAACAGCCTAAAACAACACCTAAAAAAACTTAAATCAGTTGAGCTGACCCGTCACTGCAGGAGGACGCATAACACCGAAAACTAAAAAAACCTAGGCGCCATGAACGCTACACATTCTGATTTTTGTTGGCAACTTTTTACAAATGCATACTGTACAAAATATAACTTCTCTCAACCCGACGATTCCTTCAAAAGGAGATGATAGTAAAGATGATTTAAATTGGAAACTATCACCCAAAACTTTACCTGAAATATGGAAAAGAGAAACCATGCATCTTCCTAAACACATATTACCCATCAAGGTCTTCACTCTCGGGGCAATTCGAAGAAACAAAAAAAATCCAAAGACGAATTGGGGGACCTTTTACGAAATTAAACCAAGGATTAAAGCAGTTTCAGTAAACTCACATAGGTCAAGCATCTGCTTCTTCCTCGACTTTTACAGCCATCATTGAATTCTGGCTGAAGGGGCACGTCATGCACTAGCACCTCAGCAATTTCTTGAGGCACGGCCTCTGGAAAATATGGCTGCATGATAGATTGTTGACCTCGGCCGAATGGCCAAACTCTGACAGGCAATGAGGCAGATTAATGTGATTCATCAAATATCTATGTCTATCTATCTGTACTACTCTAAAAGGAGGAGTGTTTTTGTAAAAATTCATAATGCCTAAAAAACCCTTACTTTGACATAAATTTTAGGGTAAATTGCATTTTTCATACCCAAACTAAAGTTCATTTCGGAATTAGTACCCGTTTTTTAACATTTGCAAAATCAGTACCCTAACTTTCATTCTGTTAGCAACGTTAGTACCTGACCGTTAGATCTCCGTTAAATTTCCGTTAGTTGTTAACGGAAGTAGGCAAAATAGAAGGAAATTTGTATTTTTGTTATTGGAAAATTATTATTCCAATATATACTGCATGAACTAGAAGAGAAACCATGTCTTTTCATTTTTCTCGATTTATTATATTTTTTCTAATTTTATCCAATTTTGTTTCTTATAAATAGCGGAGACTGCCTTTTTTTGAAAAAAAAATGGTACAAATGTCTTATGTATATAGATTTCATCATGAGCCAAAAAAACATAAAAATTTCCTCCATTTTGCCTACTTCCGTTAACAACTAACGGAAATTTAACGGAGATCTAACGGCCGGGTACTAACGTTGCTAACAGAATGAAAGTTTGGGTACTGATTTTACAAATGTTAAAAAACGGGTACTGATTCCGAAATGAACTTTAGTTTGGGTATCAAAATTGCAATTTACCCTAAATTTTATGGCATACTATTCTAAAAGGAGGAGTGTTTTGTAAAATGCCTAAAAAACCCTTACTTTGACATAAATTTTATGGCAAATTAGTAGTAATTCACTAATACACATCATATTTTATTTATATTTTTAATTAAAAATGAACTACCTAAAAAATCCTTACTTTGACATGTTTTTAATGTCAAACTACTCTAAAAGGATGAGTGTTTTTGTAAAAATTCATAATGCCTAAAAAACTCTTACTTTGACATAAATTTTATGGCATATTATTCTAAAAGGAGGAGTGTTTTGTAAAATGCCTAAAAAACCCTTACTTTGACATAAATTTTATGGCAAATTAGTAGTAATTCACTAATACACATCATATTTTATTTATATTTTTAATTAAAAATGAACTACCTAAAAAATCCTTACTTTGACATGTTTTTAATGTCAAATTGGTAATATACCGATGTCATCAGATCTTATATTATTAATTAAACTAATATCAATTAATTAAATGCAAATATATGAACAACTCATTCAACACTCCTAAAATAAAATTGTTTTCTTCCACATATCTTTAAAACTGTTTGATATAGAAACATTTATTTCAAAATAACCTATAAAAAATGTGTGATGGTATGCGAAATTAATTGTTGAAAACACTTGTAAAACTAGAAATCGATATTGTTTTTCTCATAACAACCACAAGATATAGAAACATTATTTACAAAATAACCTATAAAAAATGTGTGATAGTATGCGAGATTAATTGTTGAATGATTGTTCTGCAACATAAACTTCTAATCTATTCAATTTGTTTACTACATAAGATCAGAACAATTTTATGAAATTGTATAATATTAAAACTGTATCAATTTGTTTTCACGTCTAATGAGATACCACTTTAGCAATATGGATTAATTTGGACCATATAATTATCTACAAACTAATTAAAAATATCTCGAGAATCATGATATGCCTACATGTTGAAAATTAATTACTTTTTTTATCAAAAAATTATATTCATATATTATCATTAGTCATTTATTTATTTATATGTGTTATTACAATAATATGGTTTTTCAAAAAAAAAAATGTACGAAATAAAAAAATTATATATTTGAGTATAAATGAGAAGATTATAATTATATATAAAATAATATAAAAATGTAAAATTAATTGATATAAATAAGACATATGACCTAAAAAGTGCTATACTTAATTTTATATATTTTTGTACAAACCGAAAAGTTACCCACAAACACACACGCACATTAAAAACATATGAAAGAACAATATAAAGTAAAAAATATTAAATCTGACAAATAATATTAAATTTATAATAAAGTTGTAACACTTACTAATAACTATGAAAAAAGAGTAATAAATAAAAATATTATAATTAGTAAAAGTAATTATAGAACTTTTAAAATTGTTTAATTTTTTGCGCTTATTAGTTATGTATATAAATTTTAGATGATAGACATCAGTTATTTATACTTTTATCCATGAAGGTTAGAAATTTATTTTTCTTAGAAAATTAATTATTTTGATTTTAAATAACGTTTATTTGCTATTAGTTTTTTAATATAATATATTAATGGCATATTTTATATATATACAATAATACTTTTCGTTATATAATATGTAAATGCAAGAAATGTAATTCAACAGATAAATTAATAGGTAATTTTACGATGAAATAATGAGCAATTTCTACAAATTATATTGCGTGAATTTTTGTTAAAAAAAAAAAATCGGGTCATATTTCAACAGTTTGAAAAATGTCACTGGAATTGTAAAAATTTCAATGGAAGTTCTATTCGAAATCTACCTGCAGTGGTGCATACAAAATAATTTCATACTTGAGGTATTATTTGGTTAATAGAAAAAGTATACCATTAAAGTAACATAATGTCATTATAATTTATAAATTATATTTTTCATAATTTGTCATCTTTCTCATTTGTAGTACATGTTTAACACATCAATACAATTATAAGTAAAAAAACATAACTTTTCTCAATTCAACATAAGCAAATCGATGAAAATAATATATTTTTAAAAATTTTATGAACAAAAGTTGACTCGGCAATATTATTAATGAATTTATGAATTGTAAATATTTAATTAAAATATTAATTAAAAAATTGTAATTAAATATAATATAATATAGGATATACAAATATTTGATATATAATGAGACAGATGATCAAAAAAATTCTATACTTTGTATTATGTCTTTTTTTACAAATCTACAGTTAAGAACATGTGAAAGAAAAAAATAAAGTTTTAAAAAAAATATGAAATATAAGAAATAAAATGAATAATAACTAAGTTGTGACACGTACTAATAAATATAAAACAAACTAATAAACAAAAATAATATAATTAATATAACTGAATATAAACCTTCTAAAAATATACTTATCGATGTAATTGAACTGAGTTATTAAACGCTTGTTAATTTTTTGTTCTTATTAATTTTATTTGTTAATTTGAGGTGATAAGACAATAATAATTTGTACATTTATCCATGTAGATTAGAAAAAAAAAAAAAAAAATTATTATTCTAATTCTAAATAACTTTTTTATTTACTATATTAGGTTTTTTAGTATAATATAAAAGTATCATATTGAACATATAAAACAAGAACTATTTTAATTATATAATATTTAATATGTAAGAAATGTCACTCAATTGGTAAATTACTAGGTAATCTTGAGATAAAATAATGAGTGATTTCTGAAAAAAAAAATTATAGGAACTAATAGGTTCACGTGTTTAATATATTTTTAATAGAAAAATTGTAAACACAATTACTCAATAAATACTACATAGAAAATAATGTTTGAGAGGACTACAAAAAATTGCTATACTGCAATGAAAAACTCAACGGTAAGGTATTCTACTGAAAATTCCCACGAATATATTGCTTTCATTGGAAAATTTCATTGGCTATTCCATTAGTGTTCAAATTAAATTACATGAACTTTATTGGATTCAAAGATTTCAATTACATGAATTTCTATTGGAATTTTGTTTGGACCATATTTCAATCGTTGAAAAAATTGTCATTGGTATTATGTAAAAATTCAATATAAGTTCCATTGGAAAGATAATTACAGTGATAGATCCAAAATAATTTCATATTGGGAGCATTATTTAGTTAATAGAAAAAAATATACCATCAAAATAACATGTCATTGCAATTTATAAATTATACTTTACATAATCTATCACCTTTCTCATTTGTAATATATTTTAATAAATCTATGCAATCACAATAAGGTAAAATATATTTAAGAAACCAAAAGTCAAGATTTTTCTTAAATCAACATAAGAAAATCGTTATATTTGTTGTATTTTTTGTTGGAATTTTCTCATTTTCTTGTCGTAAAACTAGGACTCCAAATCTATAAAAAAAAATGCATTATATATAATATTGTGTGCAACTATTATTATGAAAAGTTTGATACGATAGAAAATATAACACATTTAATGTAATTGACTTTCAATTTATGATAAGAAGTAATTTTTTTCAAAACAAACAAGATACTTTGAAAGATCCTTAATTATCTTATTAGTATTATAATAACTAAATAAGGGGTAAGAATGATGACAAAACTTATATCTCTCATTAAATCCAAAAGTAAAAATGTTGATAAAATTACTTAATGTACAATATCAATTGAAGCTGGCTAATGAGAAATATAAAACATACTTAAGATACACATATATTTTAACTAGAACCTTTAAGTACATAATATATATATATATATATATATATATATATTCATATGTATATTTATTTAAAAGCGGGTATGTTAATCTTAAAATTTTTTAGTTAAGATTTTTATTACTTTCTATCATTAAATTTTTTAATTTTAAAATACTTCATATTTTTTATTTGTTACCATTTTATATATAATATATCACATCATTTATTTTCAATGATGTTTGAGTTGACCCATATATTGCAATAACATAAAAATAATATAATTATTTATATTGATATAAAATTATATATATATATATATATATCAGTAATAATTTAAAAAGTTAAGTTGGTGTTAAAGTATATAATATAATAAATTTTATATTCAAGTTAATCAATTTTATTAAGTATAAAATAACATAAGATAAACTTGTGGTATATTTTCATACATAAATTTGAAACAATTCATATTATAAAAAAAAAAAAAGTAAAAAAATGGGTGTAAACTTCTAACTGTTCCCACGTTTTGGCTAGAGCGCCCAAATCCGATATATGTT